AGGACACGAACGCGAAGAAGGAACCTTGGTAGCAATTGTTTTGTGCTTCACGAACGCGATGAAGGCATTTCTGGGCAGAATTAAAAGTTTCAAAACGGGGGTTTTGAGTTCATAACACAAAATCAAATTGGGAGCTCGGTAGAAGGCAATTTTTGGAGAGATTCTTGCGTGGGAGTTTGGGGTAAGTGATTCTTATCCAGTTTTGATGAATTTTCATGATTATGTCTTTGAATCCATCATTTAATGGGTGAATTAAGTTGAAAATTTTAGAAAACCCTCTTGGTTTATATTGAAGATTTGAGGGTTAAGTTGAGGTCGGATTTTGGTAAAATTAGTATGGGTAGACTCGTGGTGGAATGGGCTTTCGGATTTTGTAACTTTTGTCGGGTTCCAAAACGTAGGCCCCACGGGCGATTTTTGAGCTAAATTTTGGATTTTTATGGAGAATTAGTATTTTCTTATAGAATTAATTCCAATAAATTTTATTGACTGAAACGAATTATTGTGACTAGATTCGAGGCATCAGGAGGCCGATTTGTGAGGCAAAGGCATAACAGAGTAAAGAATTTCACGTTTTGAGATAAGTAACAGTTATAAATCTGGTCTTAAGGGTATGAAACCCTGGATTTTATATCACGTAATTATTTTGGAGGTGACGTATATGCTAGGTGATGGGCATGTGGGCGTGCACCGAGGGGATTGTGACTTGGTCCACCCCGTGAAACTGTAAAGTTGAATAACTTGTTGTTAGCTATATGCTCTCTATGTGTTAAAGAAATTTGACTGTAAATCATGCTTAGGCTATGTGATAGTACTGTTGGGACCCGCAGAGGTCGCGTACTTGTTGAATTATTTGCTAATTGCTATCTTGTACTCAGTCATGATTTTACCTGCGTATCATACCTCAGTCTTTCTTGATTTTGTTGATACACTATGTTATCTTTGTTTGGGCTGATCTTTGTGATTTTTGAGAGCCCGAGAGACTAGAGAGGTTGAGGACTGAGTAAGGCCGAGGGCCTGTCGGTGAGGTAAGGATACTATAGCACGTGAATTATCCGTGCAGGATATTATAGCACGTGAGTTGTCCGTGTAGCACGTGAGTTGTCAGTGCAGATTATGGCGCTTGGGCTGTAGGAGCCCCTCCGGAGTCTGTACACCCCCAGTGAGCACGGGTACCCATTGAGTGTGAGTGCTGGGGGATGGGAGCCCAGTGAGTGAGGGTTGTCCTGAGAGGCTGTACTTGTTTTTAATTTGTTGTTGCACTTAGTTGCTATTTGTCATTGTTGTGAAATTCTCTGAAAGATTTTTATATTCGAATTATATGAACTTGAACTGTATAAAATTGATTTGACTTAAACTGCTGGATTTGAAATCATGTCTATTCTTGCTAGAATTACTGAAAGTGAACTATAACTGTGTAGCGCGTCACGATCTTCAGTTCCTTATTTATTATTGTTACTTACTGAGTTGATTGTACTCATACTATACCCTGCACTTCGTGTGCAGATTCAGGTATTCCCAACCATATCGGAGGAAGTATAGTTGTTGACGAGATTCTGGACCAAGATTTGTCTGTATGGAGCTCTACGTTTGTGATCGTTGTGTATAAATAGGGGTAAGAGTTACCCCAAATAATAAAATCGAAGAGTATGTTAAGAAATGGGTCAGCTCAACAGTGTTGAGTCAGAATAACAAAAGAATAAATTGGACTTTGGAGAGATAATTCTCCACAGGTGTCTGTGGCAAGCCTATGAAGAGGGGAGACCAACCAATGCAACACAACCCACTTGGCTCAGTTTTTAGAAATACTTTTGAAAGAGTTTGTTTCCCGGACTCTCCGTAATACGTGGCGCATAGGGTTTGAACGATTGCGTCAGATCACCATGTCGGTGTCAGAATATGCCATCAGGTTCAATAAGTTAGCCCGTCATATTCCTACTTTGCTTCCTACAACAAGGGAGCGAGTCCACAGACTCATTAAAGGACTCCATTAGGATCGTAAAATTTTGTACGACTTGGGAGCTACAGGCTGATACTTCATTTTCACTAGTAGTAGAAATTGCATAGATATTAGAATGTGTTCGGGGTGAAGAAAAAGGAAACTAAGGAGTCCAAGACGTCTCGAGGTTCTGGGGGATTCAGTGGATTCTACTCTGCGAGTATAAATCATTATGGCGGGGGCTGGGGCAGTCGGCCATCCTAGTTCACACATCGGATTAATCAGGGTGCTCCAGTAAGTTCTTTTAATACACCACTGACATGAGTTTCCTACAATAGTTATTCTACTTATCTGGCACATACTCAGTATGAGAAGCCAAATCCGCAAAGGGGTTATTATGAATTCACATCATGAGAAAATTGTCCTAGACTTGGGAGAGACATATTTCATCAAAACACTCAGGCTACGTGCCCATTGTAGTTACTACACCACTCACACGACCAGTTAGGGGTGAAGGACATGCGTGTAGAAGACGTCCTAGAGGTGGAGGCCCAGCCGTTGATATAATTATTTTATGGTATGGCGGAGGTCGCTACATCAAATGGTGTCGTTACAGGTACGACCTCGATTTAATATAAAGAAATAATTTTCTTAACTTGATTTGGTTATGAGTATCGAGACGAGTCTTCCTATTATGCTCCACTTATGAGTGAGCTTCGTAATTCTATAATCTACTTATGTGTTTACTCCTGTTGGGAGGTTCTATAGAGATAACTACTCCTATCATTCCATGTTGGACTCTAATAAGAGTTGTGAGGCTAAATGTGGCTTTCTGTTACTCATTTCGGTAAGTTTTGATGTAATTTTCGGATAATTAAATACAAATTATGAATTATATGTCCTACCGGTGTGGGGTTCATTATGTGTTGTGATTTTGTTTAACGGAAATTATTTAAAAGGAGAAAATGAAAAGTTTCGATTGGCACGATGTGCATATTACTTGTGATTCAGAATTGAGGCCGAGGTCCTCGCATTTTAAAATAAATTGATATATTTAAATCGGGCTAGGAGCTGCGGTAGAAGTTATATAAGGACGAGATCCTTGTGATAAAAATTCTTGTGTTTAAATTCTCTCTTGTGAAATTAAATTTGTACTATAGTACTAATAGGGAGTCATTCCTGTTAGGCTTATTTGAAAATTTTTGTATGAAATTCTCTGTGCATACTTGCCAAATTCGTGTTGTAATATTGAGTTTAAACCTACGAGGTAGGTGCTCATCCAGGTGGCGTTAAATGTTACTCGTTAATTCAGGTAAATAATTATGAGGTCTTCATGCCTCGCATCTCGTTATCAGTATTGTGAAGGTTTGCAACGAGATTTTTGTTAACATGAGGTTAATTGGCAATTCTGTAATTGATTATGAACAATTATTAAGACCAGATTGACCCAGAAGGGTGCCCCATTTAGATGGCCAGACGAGTGTGAGTTGAGCTTTCAGAAGTTCAAGACCGCTTTGACTACATCGCCAGTATTGGTATTACCCACATGTTCAGGATCTTATACAGTGTATTGTGATGCATCTCGCGTTGGGCTTGGTAAAGTATTGATGCAAGATGGCAGGGTGATTGTATATGCGTGTCACGACCCAAAATCCCACCACAGGCGTCGTGATGGCACCTAGTCTCTAAGACTAGGTAAGCCGATTTCTATTACATTTTGAAGCCATTTGTTTTTTAATTAAATAAGTAACCAAAACTATCAGCGGAATAAATATGAATATACAACCTCCCAAGACTGGTAGTACTGAGTCACGAACTCTAACTGAATACATGGAATGATCACGAGCACCGAATATACAATACTGTTTGATTAAAAATTTACAGTACAATGAAATGAAAGGACTCCAAGGGACTGCGACGAGCAAGCAACTCTACCTTGAATTCTTACTGTCCCGCTTTAACTCCGCTCAAGTCTGATATCTCCAATACCTGGCTCTGCACAAAAATATGCAGAAGTGTAGTATGAGTACACCATGGTCGGTACCGAGTAAGTATCAAGACTAACCTCAGTGGAGTAGAGACGAGGTACAGTCAAGACACTCACTAGTCTAATAGCCAGTGCAATATAATATACAAGATAGTAGGAAACAGATAACAATAAGGACATCATAAAACAACCAGTGATATGCACGGCAAGACAACAAAACATCATTTAATATCGCTCAACATATAATAAATACAAGTACACCCAATTAAATCAAATTCTTCAAATAAATGTCCTTCACATATAATTCTACCAAATAACTCTCTTTCAAATATAATTTTCCTCAGATAAATATCTTTCAAATATAATTCTTTCATATAATACTTTCTAAATAAAAATCCTTCCAAATAAATATTTTGAATATAATTCTTCAATTAAAAAGTCATCATGTGACACCTCATTTCATAATCATAAAAATACGGGTCTCAGCCCATTTTCATATTTTTCATAAGCACGGGTCTCAGCCCAATTTTTATATCTCCACGGCACTTCGTGCCCATAATTAAATCATCATATTTTTCCGGCACCTCGTGCTCTCAGTTCATATCACAACTGCACGGATAATTCACAAGCCAATATCCTCAATGTATATAAGATCCACATGATCAATTTATTTCCACTAAAGTGAGTTTAGAATTTTTCAATCAAGTAAGAAATCAACACAGAATTGATGTTGTTATTGTATGGAGTCAAACTAACTAATGTAAATTGAAATAAAGGGAGTACTAAATATCTAAATGATTGGTCAAAATAAAATAATGTAATGAATGCTTTCTGACTCATAAAATGATAAATTATTAGGTGATTTCCTTTGCTTTAATTTAATGGAAAGAGTCACTCGTTATTTTTGTTGGTGAAAAATATTAGATATCCAATAAAATAATTGAGGTGCAATATCATAAAAGAGTTATGAATAAGAAATTTTATATTGTATTCTAATGTGCCCTTATTTAACTATTTTTCTAGAAGTAGAAATACTTATGTGTATTTAATTAGGCTTCAAATCAGCGGACAGCCCAAATTCAGTTAACACAACATTTTCGAACCCAAAATCCATCCCTCCTCCCCCACCTCACCCCCACCGGAAATTTCCACCGGAATCCTCCATCTCCGTCGGCAATGTGGGCGGCGAAACCTCCACAGCCACAGGCATCCAGTTACTGTACTCTCCAAAGCTCCCTCCTCTCTCTCTCTCTCCATTCTGACGCTACTCTCCTTCACATATCTCTCACTCAAATCCTTCCACTCCCCCAATTCTCCTCCTCAAACTCTCTCTTCCTCTCTCCTCGTTCAATCATCTCAGGTACAGCTAAACTTTCCTTCTAGAATTTTCTAGAATCCTCGAGAACATACTGATGCTTTTTATTTTTATTTTCGATTTAAGGTTCTTAAAGCGGATGAGGAGGTGGTATCGGATGTGTATATTTCTCCGGAAGTGTTTAGATTGAATTATGAGGAAATAGAGAGGAAATTTAAGGTGTATATATATAGAGATGGAGATCCGAAGACGTTTTATCAAACGCCGAGGAAGCTAACGAGGAAGTATTCTAGTGAGGGATAGTTCTTCCAGAATATTCGAGAGAGTAAGTTTGTTACGGACGATCCAGATCTGGCTCACTTGTTCTTCATTCCGATCTCTTGTCATAAGATGAGAGGAAAGGTATGGAATGTTCTAAAATATGCAAAGCCTCATCTTTTTATGTTTATGAACTGAATTTTGATTGGATGTGAGATGCTCTTCAATATACTTAGATTTTGGAAGTAGAGTTATAGTACATAGTTCAGTTTAATGCCTGATTTATTTAATATGCTGAAAATTTTGAATGGAGAGTGGATATAAATACCTTATACTGTGGGATCAGGTGGTTAAGTTTATTCTTAAGAGTCAATTGGCTTAGCAAGGTTGAAAAGTATTTGCTCTTCTCTTAGCTAAGGATGGTAAGCAGGACTGACAGATCGGTCAACAGGGAGTGAAGGACATGATATTAAATTTTGTTTAATTCAGTTGGATAGTACGCTAGAGAGGGTGCAGGAATGAGAAGTATTGTGACTTCTGATGTTATTGTTGGCTATAGTGCAAATTTTCTTCTTAGGGATCAGCAGCTGAATTGCAGCATCTATTAATGTGGGGTATGGTAGCTAAATGTACTAGTTTTTCCAGCATAGTGATGAGGCAATCAGAATTATTTGAAAAGAACTCTTTTTCTTTTCTCCCATGGAGATGCTGATGATAAGGTTTTGTGGCATGGAGATGCTATTGATAGCTTTGTGGGGAACGCCAATCCATGCCAGAAGATTATCGGATAACTAATGCATGTCATATGAAATATGAATGAACTCAAATTGGAAATAATAGAAGTTTATTACTCCCAGTCCTTAATTAGATGTCCATATTTGAGTTGGCGTATCATAAGATTAGAGTTAAACATATACCTGCTCCAAAAGAGGGAGAGAGAGGGAGAGAGAGAGAGAGAGAGTTAAAACATAGTATTATCTGTTATCCGTTAGCTGGAAATGCAGCAAGAAATGCTGAGAACAGAGTTTTCTATTTTATAAGGAAACTAGGAGTTGTGGTGTGCGGAGTAATGTCACTTCTCCCTTTGCACTTAATGTGGACAGGTTTTTCTCTTTTCTATAGTTTGTATATCCACGTAACGTGTTACTTGTTGTACTTTAGTAGTGTACAAGCTCGTGGTTTATAAAGATTATCACTCTGCGCCAATATTGAAAAAGCCTCATACTGTGCTTCTTATACTCTTAGTAGTATTATGGTTCTTGGTTTATAAAGATTATCATTATGTGCTAACATTGAAAAGTCTCATACTTCTTCGGGGATGTATACTTTTTTTTTTTTTTTT